ATACGTATAAATAGGTATAGGTATTTAATTATAAAAAAAAAAGTCCTACAGAATTTTCTCATTTACAGCTACAGCATGAAAGAGTAAAGAGTCTTATTTCAGTCCTACACCAACTCTTCAATCAGGTCTCAGCAGTGACTACCTAGTACAAGTGTATTTATTGAAGCTTTATGTATATTGTGATTACAAGTGTCAGATGATGCATTTAATAGATCGATCCATTGTGTTAGTCCAATTCAATTGTAATGATAATGTGTATTAAAATTGATCATTAAAATAACAGGCGGCTGCTTTAAAAAAAATACATTTCTTGTCCATCTGTTTTTTATTTATTATTTTTTTTCTTTTCTTTTTTTATTTTTTGTTTTTGATTTACCAATTGACAAGTAATGGTTAATTATATTAAGGGTACCATGATGCAGTGGTTTTAAAAAGTTTTAGATTTTGTTTACTGTAATGAATAGCAGTCAAAACATTTTCAGCTGAACTGAAAAGGGAATTTTTAAATAATTTTAGGAGGATTGATTTAATTTGTTCTCTTCAGCAAAGTTTTTTTTTTCTTTCACTTATTGAGTCAATAACACTTTGGTTTATATTATAGCACCAGTACTGGATGGTGACCAGTTAGTGTTTTAGATTATTATTATGGAGTCAGAAGGATCTCAATAATAAATTCATGCAAAAAAAACAATGTACACATGCACATTACATGCACAAAATGTTTATATATATTTACAGTTGAAGTCAGAATTATTAGCCCCCATTTGAATTGTTTTTCTTTTTCAAATATTTTCCAAATGATGTTTAACAGAGCAAGGAATTTTTCACAGTATGTCTGATAATATTTTTTCTTCCAGAGAAAGTCTATTTTATTTGTTCTATTTCAGCTAGAATAAAATCAGTTTAAAATTTTTTAAAAACCATTTTAAGGTCAAAATTATTAGCCTCTTTAAGCTATATTTTGTTTTGATAGTCTACAGAACAAACAATCGTTATACAATACCTAATTACCATAACCTGCCTAGTTAACCTAGTTAGCACACGCTAATGCTTTTAATTTATAGCAGGTTATACTATCTGTAGCCTACTGTATATGACATGGGCCTGTTGGTTAGAACATTTCTGCAGTGGTTTGCATGTGTCACATTGTAAAAGTAGACTTTTCAGGATTTTTTTTTTAACAATATCCTACTTAATAATAATAATAATAATAATTGTCATCATCATTAATATTAATATTATTAAAGTATGATTTTTTTCATTTTCTAATAATTAATAAATATTAAATTAAATGTCTTAATAAATAGCCTCATTATTTATGTATTTATTTACATGATTTATATATAATATTAGAATACGTGTTATCTTTTATTATATGAAGAGAAATGTTTAGAAAAGAAAATGTAATGTTCTCAATAATATTTGTAAAGGAAACACAGGCCCTATATGTGCCATTTACATATACTTCAATTAATATGAAAAGCGAGTGCATGTTTTTACCAAAAGTAATATATATATTTTTTTTAAATGTGTGTGTTTGTAAAACAATATGATTTGCACAAAGAAATTATGGGATTCTTCTCTAAAGAAGTTGTTACCACCCCGTTTAAAGCACCATTATGGGCGTATTACGTTAGAACTAACGTGGTTCAAATGATTGATCTGTGACAGAGAAGCTTCAGGTTTTGGGAAACACTTGTCACTACATTGTTCTTTTCCCAAACAATGCATCGTACTATGAAAGTTTAGCTGCGAGTTACGTCGTTGTTTGGGAAACACACCCTTGTCTGGTGATTGAAATTGATATTGAGCATTCCCACCTTGAGGTTGCTTGAGTAACATTTATGGTGATATTCACCAAGAGCAAAGGAGTTTACATACTATTGGGAAAACTTTAAATATAAATTGAATCGGTACATTTAATTAAAAGATGATCAAGAAAAAACTTTGTTCTCTGTCATTGTAGCTATTTATCTCCCATAAACGTTGGTCTGTGTAGGTACTAAGCATAGAGAATAGACCAATTACCAACCTACGTCACACATGACTTCACACGGGTCCCCGGTTGCAAAAAAAGACAGGCTGCAACAGTAAAGATGTCGTGTTGTGCGGTAGGATGCCAAATTAGAAAGTCCAAAAATAGAAAACGTAACTTTGACCATACACCACACTGTTTTAATGCTAACTGCAGACGTCTTTGATTAAAAGGAAGCTGAATGAAGTGACGACCTAATTAGAAAAGCTGGATAAGTTGGCGGTTCATTCCGCTGTGGCGACCCTGAATTAATAAAGGGACATGTTAAGGTGATGTACAGGTTTATGTTAAGAGGAGAACAGCGGCGCACTGTCAAAGTGTGGACCTAACAGACGGGGGAATAGGAGATGCTGAACTAACACTCTGAGGAAAGAGTTGCCTCAATTGTGGGCGATACTTTACTGTCTAGGGTAGTATCCGTGTTTGTGGGAGACACAGATGTATTAGAGGGACACTTTGTTATGGTAGTAATCAGCACCCCTCCGCTCTTATCAAGGCAGCGCTACCAGCATTTCTGCTGCCCGCTCTACAACTGACCGAGTGCCTGCCACCTTGGAGCCTCATCCCAATCATACTGTTTGTGAGGATGAATTAATCATGGGTTGACCCAGGCCACCTTGCTACAATATTTGCACAATTATTATATTATTTGCACATTTATTGAATGGAAATGTTTCCCATTCACGTATGCAAATTAGTCTTTAGATGATAATAAACTGATTCATTTATTTTTTTGTTTTATTAGCTGATTATTATGTTTATACAGTGGGTACGGAATGTACTCTGACCCTCTTAAATGTTTCACTTTTTGTTATGTTGTTATACAGCCATTTGTTTTAAGTTCATTTTTTTCCTTATTAATGAACGAACAGCACTCCATAATTATTGACAGCAGACTAAAAACACACAATTGTTGACATTTTTGGAGATTTATTAAAAAAGAAGAACTGAAATATCACATATTCAGACCCTTTGCTGTGACACCCATATATTTAACTGAGGTGCTGTCCATTTCTTATGATTCTCCTTGATCCTTTATTCGAGTCCAGCTGTGTTTAAATATACTGACTGGACTTGATTTGGAAAGCCACACACCTAAGGGCACAGTAGGCTTCATAATCCTTAAAAGCCATGGAGTTTGCTAAAATGGTGAGAAATAAGATTCTCTGATATATTTTTTTTACTCTTTTTTACTCTAGTGCTATGTGTGGAGAAAATCAGGCACTGCTCATCACCTGTCCAATACAGTGCCAACAGTGAAGCATATATACAGTTGAAGTCAGAATTATTAGAATTATTATTTTTCCCTAATTTCTGTTTAACAGAGAGAATTTTTTTTCCAACACATTTCAACACAAGTTATTATATTACAATGGTTTTGTTCTGTAGACTATCAGAAAAATATAGCTTAAAAGGACTAATAACTTTGTCCCTAAAATTGTGTTTAAAAAAATTAAAACTGCTTTTATTCTACCCAAAATAAAACAAATAAAACTTTATCTTGAAGAAAAAAATATTATTAGACATACTGTGGAAATTTCCTTGAGACATCATTTAGGAAATATAAAAAAAATAAAATAAAAAGGGGGCTAATAATTCTGACTTCAACTGTATGTACACACGCACACACACACACGCACACACACATATTTATATATATATATATATATATATATATATATATATATATATATATATATATATATATATATATATTTATATTCATTCATTCATTCATTCATAATTTTCTTGTCAGCTTAGTCCCTTTATTAATCTGGGGTCGCCACGGCAGAATGAACCACCAACTTATCCAGCAAGTTCCAGCGGATGCCCTTCAAGCCGCAACCCATCTCTGTTAAACATCCACACACACACACTCATACACTACGGACAATTTAGCTCAACCTATTCACCTGTAACTTTAAAATGAGTGCAACTGTTTGTATTCAATACTTTATTATTCTTCTTATTATTATTATTATAACTTTCCAATTTCCATATCTGCAACGCCTGTATTTTGGCTTTTTTTTTTTTCTTGGAGTCCAACTTGGAAATAACTTTTTTTCTTTATTGGCATTGATTGTTTTGAAATTCAAATGGCACTTACATGCCTGTTTTAATTTCTTTAATAAATATGCCTGTCACGCCAGGATCTTGATGGTTTATTGTGGGTATTTTGTTTACATGAAGAAATCTGTGTTACAAGTTAAACACAAATTCTAATAAACAATTATATTTTGAGTATTTTAAGTATTTTCAGTATTTTAAATGCGAATAATCGCGATTAATTTTCAAAAAAGTGTGATTAGTTATTTTTGTAATCAATTGACAGCACTAATATATATATATATATATATATATATATATATATATATATATACATATATATACACACACACACACACACACACACACTCAGAATTACAACAGTCTATTATCCAAAAATATATATTCACAAATTCACCAAGAACAAACAGAAAGGGGTGGATATAGGCTCTAACCAGCTGCTTGTGTCTGATTTTGGCCATCCTCTTTATGAGATGTAGCACAGATCTAATCCAGCTGCGTTCTTATGTCAGTTAGAATTCAGTTGAGTCATCGCCATCGTCATTTCATGCATTATGTGGACCATAAGAATGTGGGAGATGTGGTTCATAAGTATGGCAGGAAAATTGTAACTAACTGGAATTACAGTAAAAAAAAAAGTGATAAGCAGATTATGCATTAAAACACCATCATATCACGGCAAGGGTACATTAATCCCAGCAAAGGATGTGCATGTAACATACAATTTACCAAATTAATTTCCTTGTTTCCTTTTGGACTTTGTACCCATTCAGAGTCCTTTTCATTTGCTTTAGATAATAAGAACTTGCTTCACTCAAAAAGGTTATACAGTAACAGCTGATGTGTATGTATTTTGCTAGATATATTGTTGTTTGCCTTGTAAAAAATATCTGTTAGCCTAGGTGATAATGATAATCTCAGCCACAACTACATAATATTATTCAACTAGTAATTTATTTATTTTTGCCATATTTAAATAATGTTTAAAATGTTGTGTGCCTCTTTTTTATAGAAGGGGAAATTCACACAATCTTCATGCGTATATGGGTGTGTGTTGTCGGGAAAAATCTATTCTTGTCTTTCAGGTTTCTTCACGTACCTGTGAGTGTGAGGGGGAGGAGATTTGACATAACTTCCTTCTAATGTCACTCTTTTTCATTTCACTCTGCTGTGTTTATGCCTACATTAGAGAAGTTTTTTATTTCTACTATCTAGTTTTTTGATAATTTTTTTTTTTCATTTGTAAAATCCTTTCTTGTATATGTGATAAAAAGATTTCAGAATGGCGGAAAGTGTCCTGGACACTCCAGACCTGAAGGATCTACAGGAAGAAGAACTGTGGGGTCTTATCAATGATAACCGTCATGCCATTTGTCTTGGTATCCGTCCCTGTGTTCTCATACCTTACCTTCGGCAGGCACGTGTCCTTACTGACCTGGATGAGGATGAGATTCTCAACTGTCTCACATTGATCAACCGCTCCATGAGGACCAGTAAGAAACTTAATGAGTGATGCTTGATGTACTGTATACCATTTTCATGCCACGACTACTGCTACTACTACTACTACTACTACTACTACTACTACTACTACTACTACTAATAATAATAATAATAATAATGGTTGCATGATGGCGCAGTGGGTAGCACATTCGCCTCACAGAAAGAAGGTCGCTAGTTTGAGCCTCAGCTGGATCAGTTGGTGTTTCTGTATAAAGTTTGCATGTTCTCTTTCCGGTTGCTCCGGTTTCCAAAGTCCAAAGAATTGGGAATTGGGAATTGGGAAAGCTAAATTGTTCATAGTGTATATTTGTGAATGAGTGTGTATGGATGTTTCTGATGTTTTAGTGATGGGTTGTAGCTGGAAAGGCATCGCCTGCGTTAAACATGTGCTGGATAAGTTGGCGGGTCATTCTGTGGTGACCCCAGATTAATAAAGGGACTAAGCCAAAAAGAAAATTAATGAATAATAATAATTTCAAATAAAATAAAACATTTAATGGCTATTCACTCTTTGTTGGAACAAAAGTATTTTATGCTGTATTGTCAGTGAAATATAAAAGTAGACAGAATTACTCAAATGTTCTTTCTATACAATGTTTGTGCCCTCGGTTCCAATTAACTTACCCACCTTTGAAATATTATCCACAATCGCCTCTCCCAAAACTACGATTCTCTCTCCTCTCCACCACACCATAAAAAAAACTCAAAACATGCTAATCTGAATACTTCAAAACATGTAATCCTGAGTGTGCCCCACATAGGTGAGGGACCTTGACAAACCACCCACAGAAAGCACACAATTTTATCTCTGACAACTTTTTGCACTTTCTTACAACCATTCAATATCTCTATAAAAATCTGAGTGTGCCTCACACACGTGACGAGGCTTGACAAACCACCAGTAGAAATGTCTCAGTTACTCTCATTACCCTCTTTCCCTGAAGAAGGAAATGGAGATGTTTTGTCAGCATGACACCAGATGACCAAACACTCTAAGATTAGTAAGAAAAAGGGCCAATGAATGGCTTTGAATTGGCTAATGCAGCTCCTCACACGTGTGGCTAATTATAATCAGTTGAGTATATAACCTGCACATAGAGGAGAGCAAGCCAGGCTTTAAAGATAAAGAAGCCAAGCACCCAGCTCCCAGCTGGAGATCTAGCCACTGTGGCAAGAAGCTACAATGCCATGCGTTTGGTGAGGTGTTTGCAAAGTATAGAGTGAGAGTACAAGCATAACAATTGGCACAACCATCCAATGTCCCCAGGCCCTTGATTGCCAGAATATGGGAATATTTAGAATAAGGGGTCATAAGAGCCTTTTAACTAGGTAACTGTAGATTAGATATTTTAGAAATACGACAGAACGTTGGAAAGCATGTCGGTACTAAAGAGGAAGGCCACCTGCTGCCCAAATTAGGAGACATAGTGACAATATGTGCATATGAGCTAGCCCTATCCAGGTGGGAGCACTACATATAAGTAAGATGGTGGGAAACTCTCCATGGCTGACTGACGCATATGGGATCACCTGGGTGGGATCAGGCTTAGCAGGCACCAATAGCCAAAATGCTTGGGTTAACCAAGTGGGCATACCTGACAATGTAATGGACCAAACACCTGACTCCTCCACTGAGTCGGGTGTTGGGGGCTTTGAAGGAACTTCCTAGGTTAGAGCATCCAAGCCCGCCAGAAGATGAGCTGCCCCATCAGACTCGAATGTTCCTTCACTGCTGGGAACTCCAGAGTAAAGTCTTTGAAACTGTCACTGAATAGGCCTGCCTGAGATACAGTATGGGCACACCAAGAAAGCAAGCTTCCCCTCTAGGTCCTGGTGACCACCACCTACGGATTAGCCTTGTAATCTCTGGCCACTCCACCATCAAGGGAAATGAGGGCTGAAGCGCACAAGGGTCAGGCGGAGAAAGGAACCCTTCATACTTGCGCGAGCTCACTGTGCACCCCCAGGATGAAGGGGACAGGGGGCTAAGAGGATTTACCTCTTATTAATCTCCACCTCACACCACTCTAATCAATCTGGCAGTTGGACTAGGGGTAATGACACCTCTGGATACACCTTCAAAGCAGCCTGGGAAACCACAGCCATCTTGTCCGACTCCAGATCCATGACAGGGCTTTGCACCCTGGAGGGTGGAAGCGGGTCTGGTCTGTCATCCGAGCATGACAGCTTTCCCTCCACTATGGACATTTGCTATGATGGACATCTGATCTCTGGGGTCCGTTCTTCGTATGTGTATTACACAATTAGCTGGATTTGGATATTGATGATTTGACATGATCTAAGATCGTTGCGTTCTTCAAAAATCATTTGAAAGTTGTTGTCATAGTAACAGTTCTCGTTGCTCAAACTTGCATAGAAGCAGGTTAATTTCATATAAACAGGATTAGGTCAGTTCAAGCAAAGATAATACTGAAGGTATGTACTGAACGTGGATAATTTCTTACAGTAGTTATATACACTTGGCAAAATAGTAAATACATATTTTAACTATATATATATATATATATATATATATATATATATATATATATATATATATATATATATATATAGAGAGAGAGAGAGAGAGAGAGAGAGAGTAAAAAAAATTCTATTAATAAAAATTATGCAATCTGCACTTCGAAGTAAAAGTAAAAGACTGCCACGTGGTGGTTCAAAGAGAAATATTATAAATATGAACTTTTTAGATGTAAACACGTGCATGCACAATATTCGAGTTGTTAAAAAGGGATAATTTATGCAGCACGTGTTTTGATCGCTAATTTGCCGGTGATTGACACCTTTACCAATATCAAAATGCTTTTTTGATGCAAAATTATTTTTTTACAGTTCCTTACGCCGATAAAAAAAAAAAAAAAAAAAAAAAACTTGAGTAGGCTCAGGCTACTATAATAAAGAAAATCTTTCCTAAATGAACCAAATACATTAATATGCATTGCAATTCATGATGAATACTCTTAACAAAAACATTAAAGTGTAAAGCCTGCAACCCACAACAAAGGTTTAGTTATTACGTGTCATATTTACCAACCGTTTACTGCTAATTTTATGTAATTTTGCTCACATGGATAATTAAATATTAATTAGATGATGTCATTATGCTGCTGTGCCGTCAGCCAATTGTTGCATTGCTGATCATGATTTCAAGGATCGTTAGATCAGTACTTCACAGCACACGCAGCGATCTCAGATCAGTTCATCCAGACATTTTTATCTCATAAGCGAACTTGTTTGAAGAACCAAATTAGCCAGAGATCAGTTTTCAAGATGAACAAATCCAGGATCTGCCAAATAATCTTGGATCATTTTAGCAAGGTACGAAAAACAGTTGGGGTGTTGTGATGGTGTGAGTGGGGATTTCCACAGATGGTGTGAAGGGGGAATGTGTGATTAGAAGGAATTTCCACCAGGCTGTAGAGTTGCTTTTATTGCTGGTATTTTAAAATAGTGATGTTTTTTGATTTATTGACTCTGAATTAAACTTCTGAGGTGTTAATTTCCTCGCAGATTAACTGTTCAATATCTTGCCATGTGTTTTCCGATGAGTTAGATTTGATCCATTTGTGTAAGTTCATCCAACGCTGAAGATCATCATCTATTTTTTTAAATAATGGTGTCACGATAACCAGTGATCTAAACTTTGAAAAACGCTGGAAAACATTCACTTCCACTTGGACTGCAATTCTGCCACCATATGAACTACAGCTCCCTTCAGGCACACCACAAACCACTGTCCCAGTTCTTCATTGATTACACACATTTGGCAGCTACTCAAGAATGATTACAACGACCATATAAAAAGACATATGTAACAGGACCATATATCTGACTACGCTTCCAGATTTCCATGTATGTTAACGTTTGCTCCTGTCTGTGGCTGATCCTGATTTGCTCCACCTGCATTTACCCAGCATCTCATTAGAGTGATAAAGGACTTGTGGCAAGGAGGCATCATGACTTGCTATTAGTAACATATTTGGGGATACATGATCTGGGTCGGCAATGTCTGATGAGATTGGAATTGAGTTTGCCCTCAACCTCAACTAGTAATGTTTTTGGGACAGATTCTGGCACAGATTGTTCCGAAGAATGACTTGCGAGGCAGCCTTAGCATATTTCACTTCTTGGTCCCAGGTTCCACCAAAGTGAGGGGCGTTTGGTGGGTTTAATCGAAACTAAGTATTGTAAGTTCTGCTTTTTGACATCTGAGCACCAGAGAGTGCAGCACACAGCTCTAGGCAGGGCATCAATAAACATTTATGAGGAGCCACTCTAGAGCGAGCTAGGACAAAGGATACATGGACCTTTTCCTTCTCATTCAGGATTTGACGATGGCCACAGAGCCATTTGCCTTTTCTGAGGCATCACAGAATACATGTAACTCTCTGATGATAGCAGGAGTATCTGGTTGAAGGAATTGTAGTTTAGTGATATTGGAGAGTTCTGCAGCCCATGTCAACCATTTATCATGTAAGTGTAAAGGTTCGATAAAGTCATTCCAGCTGAGGTTCTGTTTCTAGAGATCCTCAACCAAGGTTTTAGCCCTGGTGGTAAATGGTATAATAAAACCCAAGGGGTCAAACAGGTGCTCAGGCAATCATTTGTTTTAATTTTTTGTGCATCTTCCTGTACATCAGTCCACTCCCACATCACATCTTTGTGTGTCAACTGTCTCAATGCGTCACAGCTGTCTCATAAGTGTGCACAAAATTTGGACAAGTAGTTCACCATACCTAATAATCTTTGGAATCCCTTCACATCAGATGGCTTGGGCATCTTAATATGGCTCACCTATTCTGTGTCAATCTTTAGTCCTTTGGACTTCAGTCTGTATGTATGTATGTATGGCACCTCTTTCTGTTTTAGCTTGAGTTTATTAAATTTAGATTGATGTTTCTGTCTCACAATGGTCCAGGAGTTGTCTTAGCTTTGTGTCATGATATTTCTCAGCTGCATAATCGTTGTCACC